AAACCACAAATTCCTTCATTTTTATTTTAAATTTTCGTTGTTAAATTTTTAGTCAAAATTGTCAATCTAATTAATATTGAATCAATAATATATGTATAATATTTTCTTATTAATATTATAATAAAGAATATTATGTCAATTGTGCATTTCTTCTGATGAAGATGAGTAAAACCTGCATTGGTTCCAACATGAAACATTTTTTACACCAATAAAGAAAATAAAGGTACAAAGTTTACACTATTGTGTCTAAACTGAAATATTTTAACCTCAGTGAACATGGGTATCCTCCAAAGTGTGCAGCCATTATTAAAGAAAAATGGGATATCTGATTAACTGGTTAGGACAATATGGAACTCTTTCCATAACTTATTAAAATTAATATTAATAAAGAGAATGGCCACAAATTTGGCGAATCTTGTGATAAATCCAAAATTAAAATTTTCAGATAATGACAAGTCGTTCATTGATGAATATTATATAGCTATATGTATGATTTTATAGATTATGGAACCTGTTCCTAGGACTCTTTCGATTTTAGAGAGAGAAGAAAATATGAATTTTGGAAATCTCATTCACACGATAAATTTAAAAAAAAACAGCTTTAAATAATTTCAGCTACTTATTAATGCAATTCTGCAAACAAAGATAAAATTGAAGTATTGTTCATAATTTATATATTGATAATATTTTAATTGTATATATATTATCAGAAATAATTCACCTGCTATTTAGTTCAGATTGATCTTAGTAAAACTAGATGTCAGTGAAAGAAGGAAGATTGAACCTATTTCTTGTTTGTGAAAAGATCTTAATAAAGAAAAGGCATACTTGATTCCTTTATAAAACAATACATCTACAGATGATTATTCTTTAATTTTTAATAAATTCCCAATTTAAAATTTTTATATATTATACCCTCCCATCCTCTGCAGGGGTGTTGAGCACTAAGATGTTTATCTAATCAAAATAAAAATCAATAAAAATTATTATAAAAATATCTTAAAATATATTATTTTTGTATTAATTTATTTATTATATATATATATAAATTATTATAAAAAGATATATATTATTTATTGCATAATTTTATTATATTATATATGTTGAAAAAATATTTTTTCAAAATACAATATTTAATCTTTTAAGTAACGAGTAATCCGTTACTTTTTTAAATAGTCAGTGACGGGTCTTCCTTTTTTCACAAGGTAACGAATAATGGTTGCCTACTTTTTCTCAGATGTAACGTGTTTCCTTTCTGATGTAACGTTTACAGCACTAGTAAATATATATATAATTATTTATTAATTAAAGATGCTACTAATTACAATCTTTGCTCAGAATCTGGTAGTTTATATCAACAATATTTTTTTTTTACATTTTCTATATTTTTTTATACCTTTTTGTGGTTTTGGCCAAATATTTTCTTTAGTTTTTTATATTATCTTGATTTTAAGATATAATTAAAGATTTATATAAATTAGATAGAAGATAGAACTATATTTTATTAATTTTTAAGTCTGGTTTTGAAATCCCACAGAAGACACTCTTTGTTTGGATATCATGATTAGTTTTCTGGGTAATATTATATGAGATTAGACCACTCATTAAACAACGACCAAAATTTATTTAAATAAAATAAGAACAATTTTTTTAAAATATATGTTCATGGAATCATGTTATCAAATCCGATCTACTGTATATCATTACCCCAAAGAGAAAACCATCGAGGGCTCAAGAAAAAAACACGGCACTTGTTGGATTCGAACAAAGAAACATCAAAATGTGATATACTTATTAAACCAAGGATAAAATGACTTATTTAATCTCAATAAAACATAAAAAATCAGTAATGTTTAACGCGATGCATTAATAATCTAGTTTTCCTTTAAGATAAAACAAAATGGTTCCACCATAGTTTTCATTTAAATGGCGAAGAATTTTTACTTTAATAAAAAAATAAAGAATATAAGCCCAAGAGAGTCACACAGGCATAATATTTTCTCGATAGTAGAACTTTTATAAAGACAACTCAAAGGGAATTCATTAACTGACCAAATGTAGTTAATTGACGGAAAATGGTATATTTCATAAGCTTCTCAGAGTTGGGCAGTACCGAAAAGCTTGTATCTAAGATACAAGATCCTTTTGTATCTTGTACTCGGTATCTTTTTGATATTTTTAATAAGATACTAGCATACGTGTATCTAAGATTCTTTATTCTGGAAAGTATCTTATTTTATTTTCTTGACAAAAGATACAGATTATTTTTAATATTCACTTTAAAAATTTTACATATCACAGTATATATCTTATTTCGGAAAATCTTGTATTAATTACTTTATTTTTTTCCGACATATTTTAAGTATATCGACAATCAAAATTAGCTGGAAAATTTACAAACCATATTAAGATCGATACATAAAAATAACACCAAAACTAAATAAGTAAAGATTACATTTTATGTATAAAAGTAACTCGGTAGAGTATCATTACCAATTTTATGTAATATTTTTTAATTTGTAGCATGATTAACATTCATGGTAGTGAAAGTTAAATTATGGAAATAAGTTCACCTGAATCAAATTCCAAACTTAATATTTTAGATGGGAATTTTTTTTTAAATAGTTCAATTTAGAAAAAGGCAATATACAGGTTGAATGTACCTTGTATAAACATAAAAAATGATTAAAGGTTCAATAAATTTTGTTAAACATAATAAAGTATATATTATTAATATACGGTTAAATAGGTTATCTTAAAAATTCAAATTTATAATATTGTCTACTTTTATTAAAAACTGCCCAAGATGGTATTAGCAAAAGATTTTCCTATGATAATTAATGAGGCTTCATTGGCATCAATATCACATCCATATTTTAAGAACTTATGGATTGAGTAGGGATAAAATAAGGTACTTTCAAAATATATTAATAAAAGAAGCCCTAAATGTAGTACCAGAGTATAAAATGAAGCTCAAACTATAATAACAATCGATTTAACATTTATTTTCTTTTTGTTTCTGAAATAATATAAATAACATTGAGCTGGAGGTTTTAAGTTATATTAAAGACCGTCGATATACATTAGAAATGCTTAATGATTATCCTTCCATTAAGGATTTATTAAAAATATAATACTGTAAAACCTTCAACAGCTCCAGTTGAATGGTTATTTAGTTTTATTAGCACAATGCTAATTACGCCGAAAAGGCAAAGACCTAATGATGAATAATGTTGCTGAGTTCAATAATACAAATAACATTGAGTTGAAGGATTTAAAAATATAATACTGCCATACCTTCATCAGCTACAGTTGAAAGGTTATTAAGTTTTAGCGCAATGTTAAGTACGCTTAAACGGCAAAGGTCTAAAGATAAATTATTTGAAAATTTTGAATATTTAAGAAAAAATGAATTTATTTTAAATATTCTTTTGCAAATTAATATTTCAACTCTTATTTAAAAATACTAGTCTCCCTTCCCTGTCTATGCTAAGAATGAGCTAATAATAATATTAAGATGCCTGATTATTATAATTAATTCATCATTAAATATTTTATTAATTTTTGTAAATGTTCATTCTGATTATATGCGTGTTATCTTCTTCACAAATAAATAATAAAAATTGTATTTTATAAACTATTCTAATTTAATTGGTAATGATAATTTAAAGATATCTTGAATTTAAAATACTCTCATTTAGCAAAAGACACAAGTATCTTTTTGATATTATGAACAAACTACTAGTATATATATCTAAGATTCATTTTCCGGAGGACCTGCCCAACTCTGATGCTTCCATAAAATTTAACATAATGGTATTATAGAAAAATAGGGAAATCCTTTTTTGCTCATTTGAGGATAGGATTATGTTAATTATATCAATTTAAATAAAATGTATTTAAATAAATTATAATATTAATTTAAATATAAATATTCAAAAAATCTGATGACCTTAAAACTTACCATCTTTTACAATTTCCCATTCAAATATATTTTAGTAAAAATATATAAAAAGTTTATTGCAAAAAAAACTTAATGTTATTTTAAAGTAATAAAGACACCTTGCCTTCATGTTCTAACTAACTATTACCTTCTTTTTTTGCTAATTTTCAAAAAATGAGCCACCCTGTAGTTAAAAAGTTAACAACACCACTACATAGATATATATTTAGTAAAGTAAATATTAGGGGTGTACTGATACCACTTTATGGAGGCCGATCCGATATTTCCAATATTAAATCGACCGATTTCGATCCGATATCATATCTAATTTTGTATTCTGTAAAGATACAATGGTTTTAATTTTTAATATACTTTTTATTAGTATAGCATCTATAATTTAACTATGCCATAACTTACGTCATTTAAATATATTATAATGATCAGTTATAGTTTATTTTCAATTCAATAAAATATTCTTATTGTTAAATACTTTTATATAATAAGTAATAAACAAATATATATGAAATTTGAAATTAATATTTAAAATAATATTTAACTTTAATATATCGACGATTTCTTTTTAGAAATATCAAAATTTCAAATTCATCAAAGGTCAGCCTGCTGCGATGGTAACTGTCAATAACACCAGCTTCACTAAAAACAGATTCTGAAGAGATTATCGCACATTTTTATAAACAGAATGCGCAAAAAAATAACCATATGGCAGAATGTTAATTAATTAATTATATTATTTAAAAAAATATATAAAAATGGATTTCGATTTTATTTATAAAAATAAATGATTTTAGATATAACTTTTTTAAAAAATTTTATACCATTTTATTTTTGTTAAAGACGCCATTTTATATCGGATCGGAAAATTTTATAATATTGACCGATAACCGATATTTTAAGATGGATGAAATATCGGTCCGATCCGATAAAAAATATCGGTACATCCCTAGTAAATATAAAATATTCTATAAATTAAGATTTAATATTAATCTAATTTCTTGTTTGTCGTTCAAATTGTATTTCAAAAATTAAATTAGCCCTCAACGCATCTTTATTTATTAAAATTTGCATTTAACAATTATGTGCATAAATAAAAAATCATTATTATAATATAATTAATCGAATGATTTAGTGGCTTCCTGCTGGACAAATTGAGGGTATAAGATTTGAACATCGGCCCAAGTAATCTTATCATCACATAAATCACTTATCAATTGTGAGATCTCGTCCATCTATATATTTATAAAAAAGCATTTTTTTTCTTTATATTTAAAAACTGATAAATGGGTTAAAAATTTAATGTGACCTTGGCAATATATTAATATCAATTTATATTTAAAAAAAACGGTAAATATTAGAGTCATACAAGGCCAGTTCATGCCGCGTCAAACGAATCAATAAAATAATTTTTAATATTAGGAGGGAGGGTTAATTTTTAATTAAGGAGGCCCATTTCGAGTAGGTCAGAGCTGTAGGTAGATTTTTAGAAATATAATATCCTTCTCATAAAAATACGAATTTTAAAAATAAATCCAAATATTAGTGTTGCATTCTGAAAGATAACTTATTTTTTTTATGTATAAAGTGTTTTTCTTCTTTTAATACATTCGCTCTGATTTGAAGCATAGAATCTCTTTCCCTCAAAGTTACAGTAGGTGTAGCAACCAAAGAATCGAAATCAATAGTTATGGCAAATGGGATAGCTATCTCATCTGTTCTAGCATATCTTCTCCCTATAGACCCTGCTGAACTATCCACTTTGTGACTAATGCTAAGTGCGGTTAAGGATTTTGCTTAATTCATTGTTTTTCATATATAAAAAAATTAAAGTATATATAAAAAGTAAATAAATTTTAAAATATAAATTATTTTTTATTCCAGGAACAATTGACGTTATAAATTAATTACAATGAATTTACACAAAATTTTGATTAATGGCTTGAAACTCGAGTTGTTGCTTAAAGGCAGAATCGAACATTTATATGGGGAAACGGAGGAAGGCAAAGAGAAATACTATAGTTTAAACAACAAAATATTGATAAGAATTATTATATGAAAGTATAATTTACAATTTTTATTATTATCATAGACAAACGAAAATTTATAAAAAATAAAGAAAGACTTTATATTTAAGGGTTTATTAGTTAATCTAAATCAGTGAAATTAATAAATTAAGACCTAAAGACCCAATTTCATTTTTTTTACAAAAATTACCGTTCGTTTGTCATCTTCCCGCATTTTGAAATTATGTTCTAGAACGGAATACATGATCCTCCCAATTCCGAATGAAGGTTCAATTACTGATGGAGTTATTTCTTCAACTAATATTTTATAAAATAGTAATTCAATTTATAAAAAGTATTTAACATATTAACATAATTATTCTTAAAATGGGTGTACAAATGATGTTAGTAAAGAGTTCGCAAATAGTATATTTTCGTTATGATTAATGTTATTTATAAGAATATTAAAAATATTCCAAAAGAACCATATAAAAAAATGCATTAGTAAATAGTGAACTAGGAAATGGCTTTAAAATGATAAATTTTACTAAATAACTATATTTTAATTATTTTTTCAAAAAAGGAACGACCAAAAAATTTTATTTAGAGAAATTAATTACAGGAATTATATTATAATAAAATATTAGTAATGTGTATAGGTCTGCAAAGGACGAGTTTTAGTCAAGCCTTAATATAGGCAGGCGTGAGTGGCGGATTTAAAATATTTTTAAAACAATAGGCGGGCGAGTGAATTTAAAATATTTTTCGGGCCGAAATGCACGAAACGGACTTTTATATATAAAAAATTATAATTTTTCCCTCATAATATTCACATTTTTATAAGTAAAAAACATATTAAATAAAATCAATAAAGAGCCAAACCAGCCAATCAAATAATTTTTAAACATTGAGCAAGCGGGATAAACAAAATTTTAAAATAAATTGGGGGTGGGGAGGGGGGGGGGTATTTTTTTTGAAAACTACGGAGGGGCGGGAGTAGTGTTGTCAAACGGCTCGATTTTAGCCAATTTTTAAATATGGCTAACTCAATATTTAGCCAGAAAAATTGTCTAAGCTTCGATTTTCGTTAATAGATGTCCTTACCTTTTTGTCATCTATCAGCAAAATCTTTAGTTATTGAAAAATACAAATTAAAAGGATTTTTTAAATAAACAAAATCACTAATTGCTTTGAATTCAAAAGATAATCTAATTGCCATTTTAAATTATAAAGAGAAAACATTATTTTTTTACAAATATTTTATAAACCCAGAATTTTTTCTAGAGCTCGATTTTGAGTTGCAGGACTCTAGATATAGTGTATGTATGTAATTAATTATGGTTATAATATATATATCGATTATATTACCGTAAAGCTTCTTTTCGTAGCGCTTGACATAAATCATATCCTTGCTTATTTCCAAATCTCGCCCGTTTGCCGGGAGCGTTATTTTTATTTTGCTAATATGGCATTATAATTACTTTGTATAAATTACTATTCTTTCCAAAATATATACAGCAAAAAAATAAGATATAACACTTTAATTAAATAACTTTATCAGAAAAAAGATTTACAAAATTTATGTTTATATGTCAATTCCGCGAATTTTTTTTCTATGATGCACATTAGCGCAAATCTTGAACTTCATATAAATATAAATCTGCGAATATATTATAATAAATTAGGGCAGTACCGATCTATCACCGATCCGATATTTTATATTTGAACAAATGTAATAAAAATATCAATAATTTCTATTTTAAAAAAAACCAACCAACTTTCAAGAGTGATTAATTGTATTTCATTATTTATTTTTTTCTCCTTAAGTTAATAATCTCATTTAAAATATTTGCAATGTATATATATGGGTGAATGTAGTGTTGTCAACCAGCTTAATTTAGCCGATTTTTAAAAAGGGCTAAATCAAGATTTTAACTAAAACATTATCACGTAAGCCTCGAAATTTAGCCAATAAGTCCAAACTTTTCTGCTAAATGTGAGAAAAATATTTAAGCTTGAGTAATTTATTCTTGGCCAAAATCTTGAATTGGCTAAATCGAGCGGTTTAACAATGCTAGAGGAATGTGACTTTTGCATTTTAGTTCCTTATTAACTTATTATTATGAAATTATTTATAAAATAAAAAAGATTATATACAATCATAAAATAACCAAAAATAATAAAAAATTTCGGATAGGACCGTTTTTTTAACAAAATATGGGATCCGATATTTTTGAAAACGCTAAATATCGCCAATATTTAATATCGGCAAAGCCCAACTTAAATCCATTTTTGAGAAAACATTGCCAAAATAATTTCGAGGAATTGACGTGATAACGAAAATAAAAATTCATTACCCTTCTTCTTCAAACTTTTTAACCAAGATTGAAATTTCTTCTTCATTTAACAATGAGAAATATAGCAAAACATCTTTACTATCCTTTTTAAATACTTTACCCAAGTACTCTTTTTTAACTTGTATTTCGGTGACTTCTTTAACGATGTACAAATATAAAGTTGTCGATAGAAAGATATAATATTATCGAGTTAAGGAAATCCAATTTGACGACATTCTAACGTATTAGATAATTAATTCTATAATCGCAAGTTGTTTATTTCATGCAGGAGACATAAAAAGTAAACAATTTAGTTAGGTTTTGAGGTAATAATTCTTTTGTTCCTCCTTAGCGAAAACCATTATTTATATATAAAAAAAATCCTCACTATTATAAAATTTTAAAAATGTATTATATTTAAGTTATATAATTAAGCACAATAGTTTTTTTTGTAAAAAAAGGATATGGGTTGAGATAAGGCTTTTTCCGAAACTAATTTTATGCCAGTAGCTTTGTGATGCTGAATAAGATCATAACACGACCTGTCGGCACATCCCACACATTCGACCCAGCCCTTTCAAAATAAATATTTTAGAATAAAAAATAATTAATAACTAAATAAAACTAACAAAATAAAAATCATAGTTGCAAGGTATCGAGATAAGAATTCAAGAGTCGATTGCGATCCTAATTTTAACATAATTGTCTGTATCGTCAATTCTTTTATAAAATGAGTAGTATCAAGATACTATTCTATTAATTAATATTTCTAAATTTTTATCTATTGCTGAAACATAGGGTTGTTAAACAAAACCTTAAAAATTATCGCGATCTCAATTCTTTCAAAAAAGATCGCGATCCCAATATTTTTACCATTACCGATAGATATAAAGTAAGACATTTTTTTTAATATTCTGAATTAATATACTAATATTATTGAATGGCAATTATAATTTAGTAAATAAAACCGAACCGATACCGGATTTTCAAAGTTTGAGATATCTTTATATTTTCTTTCACTCCTTATTATATTTATAATAGTTTTTGTAGTAACTGCAAATTAACTATTTGTTGGTGCATTCTGATAGCAGTTATTTTCACATATTGATAATTTTATAAATTTAAAATAAATTTATTAATCGATTGTATTTTATTTTAATTAGATTCATTATATATTATCTTTAAATAAATCAATTATTCTCAACCTCGTAGTCTTTCTCTAACACTCACGACTCTTAAAAGTGGTGCCGAAACCCGGGATTCGATGCCGGAGAGAGGAAAATATAAAATAAAATTGAACCAGGGAAGGAAAAGTTCACAAAGAATAATTTATGGTAAAAAATATTATAAATCAATGAATTATCTATTTTATACAGTATTTTTATTAATTATAGTTTTTCTTTATTCGATTAATGTCAGTAGAATATTTAAACTTTTTTTAATCAAATTTTTATTAAGTACTCTGTAATGTATATTGCACAGATAAATATGTGGAATTTTTTAATAGATAATTTGTTAATAGTTCTTGTGTTGATGTTTTTAGTTTTTGTATTAGGTCAAAAGGAAGAAATAAGACTTATATTAAAATAGAACGTAGAGAAATAGAAAAATTTTATAAGAGAAGAAGATAAGACAAGACCTATAGATAATTACTGACAGATAAGGTGCTATTGTTGTGGTCAGCCGGGTCACATGTCGCGACAGTGTTAATTAACCAAAGATTTAAAATGCGCGAGATGTGGCAAGAATGGCCACGTAGCAATAAGATGTAGAATGAATAATTTGATCATGAGATGTACTAATTGTGGTCAGGAAGGACACACACAGGAAAGGTGTAAGATTTGACTAGAAAAGAATTTTGATTTTTATGATAATTTTGTTAATAATAAATTTTTGAATTTTTTTAATTATAAATCATGTAATAATAATAAGTATAGATAAAATGAGAGATATAAAGATAGAAAATAGAAATTTTGAAATATATAGAACAAATAATGTGATTGGTGAAGAAATACGAAATATAGAATTAGAAGATTTTTTAAAGAAGAATAGATGCCCAAAAATTAATAAAAAGATTAAGGAAGTAGATATATGTTTTTTATTGGATACAGGAGTGGAGATTAGCCTGTTGAGCATAAAAGATTTCAATAAATTTTGACCAGAAGAAGAATTTGTGGTAAGAAAGATAAGAGCCAAACAATTAGATGGTAGCATTGTGAAAATTTTAGGTTAATATAGGATAAGGTTGCCTGGAATTAATAAAGATATAACTTTATGGATAACTACTTTAAAGATCGAGCCGATTTTAGGTTAGAATGACATTAAGAAGATAGGTCTTGATTATAATTGGTGGTCTTTGTTTGAAAATGTCAGCGAAAACAACAAATTAACTAAAGAGATAATAAGAAATGAGGATAAGGAGAAGACTGAGTTACATTGTGTTAAACAGGATAGTTCTCGATAAACTGAGAAATCGAACACCAGAATTTTTAATTAGATATAGAAGCAACATAGAAAAAAATAAGGAAACAGGAGATATAAGGACAATAGAGGTAGATTCAGTCGAATCAAACAACAAAGAATTAAGAATATGGTAGAACTGAATGTTGTTGAGGATAATTTAAACAAAGAAATAAAGAATATATTGAATAGGTATAAGGAAGTCTTAAAAGAAGAATTAGGTACTCTTAAAGATTTTGAATACGATTAGAAGAAAATTATCGATCTAAATTTTGCGGCATAAGAAAATTACCGTTTTCTTAGTTAGAAGAGATAGATAAAGAATTAGACAAATGGCTTAAAGAAGGAATAATAAGACTAATAGTGCATAGTGTATGGGCAACACCATTAGTTCCCATAAGAAAACAGGATAACAGTTTAAGACTATGTATAGACTATAGAGTATCGGTTAACCCGTAGTTGATAGAGGAAAAATATTGGCTAATTTAAAAGGAGTAACAATTTTTTCTAAAATAGATTTTTCTAATGCGTACTTGCAAATTAAGGTAAGTGAGAATACAAGTAAGATATCAACGATTACAATGCATAGAGGATTATTTGCTTTTTGCCGTTTACTATTTGGTTTGAAAGTATCGGCTCCAATATTTCAAAGAACTATGGCTGCTTTATTCCAAGGAATAAGGGGAATAATGTATTATTTAGATGATGTTTTGATATGTGGTAGAACAGAAGAACACAATATGAGATTAGTTAAAGTGTTAGGTATAATATTAGAAAATGGTTTAAGAGCTAATATGAATAAGAGTGTTTTTGGAGTAAGAGAAATAAAGTATTTAAGACATATTATAAAGGGAAATGAAATTACTCCAATTGAAAAGAATATAGATAAGATAATGAACATGAGAGCACCAAATATTAAAACGGAAGTACAGGCGTTTTTAGGAGCTACGAATTATTATCATCGGTTTGTTCAAAATTTTGCAGAAATTGCCACACCTTGTATGTTTTATTAAAAAAAAATAAAAGGTTTGAATGAGGAGAAGCACAGGAGGAAAGTTTCGAAAAATTGAAAATAAAGATGGCAGAGAAACCGATTTTAAATTGTTTTAATGAGAATTTAGATATTATATTAGCTGTAGATGCATCTAATGAAAGTATAGTAGGAGCTTTATTATAGATGACAGATAATGTTGAGAAATCGATTTTATTTTTATCGAGACGGTTTAGTAGCACTGAGAAAAATTACTCCACGATCGAGAAGGAGGCTCTTGCTGTGAAATTCGGGCTAGCGAAGTGCAAAGAATATCTGATTGGAAGAAGGTTTATCTTATATACCGATCATAAGCCTTTGGTAGATTTATTCAAGAAGGAAAATAAGGAATTTATGATTTCACCAAGATTGCAAAAATGGTTAATTTTAGTTGGTAATTTCGATTATGAGATAAGATTCAGAGCGGGTAAACAAAATTGCTTACCAGATATATTATCGAGATTGTTTAAAAAAGACAGTACAAACAAGGATACACTAATCAATAGTTTAGAATATATAGAAGAGGAGGAAATATTAGATAGTAAAGTTATAAGAGCTTTGAAGATAGATACAAGAGAAAAACCTATAACTTTTGAAATAGTAGGGGAGATATCCAAAAAAGATGAAGAATTAATAAGAATTAGAACTAGTTTGAAGGGAGATGCAGAATGGAAAGGTGAAGACAAAGCCTTTAAGAATATAAGGAGTGAATTAAATATAGAAGACAATTGTTTATTGAGAGGATATCGATTAGTGATACCGAATAAGTTAAGAAAAGATACATTAGCCGTAATACATACAGGACATCAAGGCATAGAAAGAATGAAGAATAAAGCAAGAGAATACATTTGGTGGCCCAAGATGAATAGTGAAATAGAAAAATTAGCTAAGAGTTGTGAAACATGTAATATGTGTGTAAATTTACCAGCAAGAAATAAGGAAGATAAATGGCCAAAGACAAATGTGCCATGTGAAAGAATACACATAGATTTTTTAGAATATGAAAGAAATAAATATTTTATTATGGTAGATGCAGGTTCAAAATGGATAGATTGCCAACAGGTATCAGGTTTATCAACAAAAATAGCTTTAGATAAAATAAAAGATTTTGTAAGTAAATATGGATTAATGAAGACCTTAGTATCCGATGGTGGTCCAGCGTTCAGAGGCAGAGCATTTGATAAGTTTTGTGATAGATGGAAGATTGAACATTTATTATCTCCACCACATTATCCAAGAAGTAATGGACAAGTTGAACGAATGGTAGCTATAGTTAAAAATTGGTTAAAAAAATAAAAATACGGAGAAGGAAAATGGTGGTTATTATTATTAGCATATAACAATACTAAGACTAGCAAAGGGAATTCACCAGCAGAGATGTTTTTAGGTAGAAAAACAAGAACTGAATTAGATTTTTTGAAAGAAAAAATAAAGCAAAAGGATTATACATATGAGGAGAAATTTAAAGTTAGAAGTTTAGTATGGATTCTACTTTTTGATGGTCCAATTAAATGGGGGAAGGGTATAGTAAGTAAGAATATAGGAAGGAAAAAGGTAGAAGTAGAAATTGAAGGACAAGAAGGAACATATGCAAGGCATATTAAACAATTAAGACCTAGGTGTATAGGTTAGGAACGATGAGTCTTAAAATTGATGATAAACATAATGGATTTGTTTGGTATAACAAGTGATAATTATGAGAATCTTAATTTTAAGTGTTGATGATAGACATAATTGATTTGTTTTAAAAAGTTGGGTAAAATTATGAGAATCATAACTGAGGGTATTTGAAAATTGATGATAAGCATAATAGATTTGTTTTAGGTATAACAAGTGATAATTATGAGAATCATAATTTTGTGTTTTAAAATTGATGATAAACATAATAGATTTGTTTTAGGTATAACAAGTGATAATTATGAGAATCATAATTTTGTGTTTTAAAATTGATGATAAATATAATTAATTTGTTGATGAACAAGTGACAATTATGAGAATCATAATTTTAAATGGTAATGATATACATAATGGATTTGTTTTGGTGTTAACAAGACTGAAAGAATTATGAGAATCATAGATGTGTA